TACAAATATTAATTTATCTTTTATTAAGAAACATTTGTATACACTTCTTGACAGAATAATACTTGAATGCATGATGCCTATTTTACTTGATTTAAATCCCCATAAAATTAAATTCTCTGTTTTGTCAATGTTCTAACACATATATAAACTGACAGGCTGAAATAACCATTTAGAAGGGAAGGGTATGAAAAGTATAGCAGGCACTTGCTTGGATTGGAGCTAATAACCCAAAGCTGGGGTCGCCACCTAGGGGTGGTAGGTTCAAGGACAGAACCCAGGTGGTGGTGGTGATTGTCAAGGCACTTTAAGTATTATTAAGTCTTCAGACAGTCATTTACTATCCAAAGTGTAAGGAGAAATCAAGTCAATGTATATGTGAAATTAGATAGAATTGCATATTTTTCCCTTCAGTTTAATTTCCAAATTCTCAAGTGCAGTGAAATTGTACTCCTTACATACTGTACAGTACAAGACTTGCCAGAAATCTCTAATTTACTGTATTGGTTTTTCCTAGTGTTAGAAATTTCGGAGAGCACCACCAATGTTTGGCTATATTGAGAAACTATTTGTTGAATTTGGATCGCAGAATAAAAGTACAGTATAGAACGCCATGCAAATAAGTTATATGGAATGCCATTGGTACCAAAATAGATTTATTTTTAGGTTTTTTCACTGATTTAAGACAAAACTTAGGGACTGGAACCCAGCGAGTCTACAGTATAACTACCTAACAATTTGTTTCGAAATTGTCTTATTTATTTATATAGTTATTCTGAAATCACTTTATCTTAGGATCGGAAAACAAACACATACCTGTACATTATTGTATATAATAACAATTAAAGACCAGGTTATTATAACCGATATATTTTTCTTTTATTTAAGGTTGGTGCCCTGTCAGCAAGGTCGCTTTACTAATCAACTTAAAAATGAAATGAAAATACCCGACTTTTTGAATAATTTATTTTGTAAATTTGAAATAACGACTATAACAATAATAATGGTAAGTTATAGAGCACATATTGTAGAGACCTCCATGCACTAACCTTATTACCCCCAGTCATTTGGATCAAGCACATAATGGAACACATACTCAGGTCTCTTGGGAGAATTCCATAACCTATGACCAGAATAATTTTAATTAACGCTTTTGACTTTGTGTATCTCCTTCATCCGTTAGAAGGGCAAGAAGAAATACTGCCAAAAGATTAGAGATGTAATAAGGTGATACAGATGCACTCAGTTGTTGGATGAACAAGATAAGTTTGAAGAAGTGATTTGGACAGACGAGACACTGATTCACCTTGAACAACATGGGAAGCTGTTTTACAAAGTTAAAGAGGAGCCGAAACTAAAACCGAACGTAAAACACCCAGTTAAAGTTCATGTATGGGGGCTGCATCAGTATCAGAGAAGCAACTGAAGTGTTGATTTTCGGTGGAATCATGAATGCCGAATTCTATGTTTGCGAAATATAAGAAGGAACCCCCCCCCCTTTTTGGGAGGTAAAAAAAGAAAAAAATAAATAAAAAAGAAATAAATGATAGCCCACAACGCCTCAAATATTACTTTCGGGCGTCTAGAAAACAAAAATTTCTCGGGGGCATGCCCCGGACCCTCTAGGACATTTGTCTCGATCGGCCCAAATTTCGACCCCATTTTTGGACATCTCTGGATCCGCCCCTGGTATGTGAATTTTATAGTATGTATTTGAAAGAGAAAAATGTTCATGTAATAACATTATATTTTTAAGTACACTTGGAAGTTTTGTTTGCCCTGCTGCCAACTAGGATTAACCAAAAGAGGGCTCACTACTTTAATTGATTTATATTCAACATACTAAAGGCACATGTAGCCAAACAATAGCAATCTAGTTATCACAACTGGAATAATAGTCAAGGAAAAAGGACTTTTCCTTACCAGTCAAAGGGGCAGATCCAGATTTTTCAAACAGGGGGGTGGGGGCACAACAGTTACACAATAGGTAAGTAAGTAGCACATAACATTGATTTTCATTGATCTAAAAAAAAATTTAGTGACAAAACGGAGAGACACATGCCCCCATGCCCCCTACTCAGGGCTTAAAATTAACTTTTTTTTCTTGGTAGCACTGCCAAAATTTTCTGGCACCCCCCAAAAGATTTGGTAGCACAAGTAATTTTTTTAGTAGCACATATTTCTCCATCCTTTTCGCATCCCCTAAGTTAATAAGCGCTGCGCAATATTTTATTCTTTATATTTCCTAACAAACCCCCACCCACCCACACCTACACAGTCCCCATGGATTATTATGCAAGAAAGAAGAGTTAAATTTTGATTATTGCTTGATCTGGGCCGTTTACATCGTATGAGTCAATACTGTATATGATCGTTTGAAATTTCGGTACATAGACTGTTTTATGAACAAATATGTTAAGGAAACGTTCACAATTACGAGGAGGTACAGGTAAGAGTAGCACTCTATAAAATAGTAAAAAATCGTGCAATCCGATGTTTTTATACCAGTCTCCTTCGCTTTGACGGTGATCGCTTATTTACCAAGATTAAGATGAGCGCACATCGACACGGTTTTAGTGTACGACGTCACACTTTAACAGTCTAGGTCATGCTGATTGGTTGATACAGTACATGTAAAATGAATGATAACATGTTTTGAGTACAGCCTGACTAAAAATAATGGGCTGTACAAGTTGTAAATAATTGGGATTTGGGGGAAAACCACCTTCCTGCCGCTTACAAAATCTACTCGCGCTATCAAATGACCTTGTCGCACTGAGCGCGACAAAGTTGAATTCCTTGTCGCACCTTAAAAAATCACCCTTAATAACCCTTAATTTCAAGACCTGCTACTGGATCCACCCCTGGGTCAACAAAAATGTGGAATGAACTACCTACCATATGAATAAAAAAAATCAACTTTCAAAATATGTCAATACATTCATTCCAAAACAATGTTAATACTACATAAATTTTTTTTTCATTGATTCTGCCATTGCTTGGTATAAATTGAAGGGTAATATTCCATTAATTTTTATCCAATCTGGAAAATTCAATCATGGCAGGAGAGGCTATGAAGTTTACTACCTGTTTGGAGTTGCCTACAACAGAGGTCCCAAGTCCTCGCTACTTGCGGTAGTCTACCGCTTTTAGCGACAATCTACCGTGCTACAGCAAGCTTACGTTTTTCTACCACATGAGAAAACTTCTTCCGTAAATTTTTTAAAATTTGGGTAGGCTACTTAATTTTGAATATCAGCTTAGCCTAGACCTTGGTAAAAACATACAGTAACTCAGGATGTTAAAAAACAATCGTAAACAATCACAAATAAGTTTATTCCACTCCCTACCATCACTGTTTATAATGCATTTGCAATTAATTACGGTAGCTGATGAAAACACGGAATCAAAATACACTTTGTTTATTAAAAAAGTCGATGCGCTCATGCCTGCAGTGTGATTTGATATCTAAACATCCCTGTAAACAACATGCCCTTTGACCCGTAGAACAGGCCTACAGCTAACTTTTTTGCATAAAGTTAATCTTATCAAGCCGTTTCATAAAAAAATCACACAATTATTAATCAATAGTCAAAAATAATAAGTAAAAATATGGCTCCAGCGAAGAAACGCAAAATTCATGTGCTTTTAATTCACAATTTATCAAGAAGTACGTTGCCACTGGTGGCGCACCATCGAGGTCAACGAACTCGATTCTGGAAAAAGTATCTGTTTGAAAGCATGGAGGTCCATGTTGATAGTTATGCTGTAATATCGGTGAAGAACGGTGGAATGACCGATGTTGAAAGATATTTAAAGGTATGTTGACTTCTTTTTAAACAGTTTTATGTGATTGTGATAAAAATCGTACGTTCTATATTCAGTTTTGCGACTTGGAAATGGATGGTTGAGAGGCATGCACTCGTCGTTACCCTATCTAGCCTAGGCCTAAGCCTAGCCGCCAGGCCCTAGACTTCTTGAGCCATTTTTTTCCTGTACTAGCTAGGGCCTAGACTAGGCCAACCGCCCTTAAAACAACTTAGGTCTAGACCTCAGTTAAGGTTTTTTAAGTCAAGCTACGTACACCTAGACAAGACTATCGATATTTTAACAAGAATAAAAAAAATTCAGGTTACATACATTTTGAGATAATATTTTCGTTATTTTTTTATGTTTACAGACTTTTTTGCCATGATTGAACTGCATCCAAATTTCACTCTTCCCTTAAAAGAAGCTACTACAGTACTACTATTGAATACAATATTTAACTAACAGATGCCAGAAAGGACTGTAAATTGATGTAATTAATTGATATTGATGTAGTAGGCCTAAGTGTAAATAAATGAATAATATTAGACTAGGCCTACTGTACAGATTAGTAGATTCCAGAATTTATGTAAGTTCATGGTATTAATTTACATTGTGTAAATAAAAATGAAAGCAAGAGCAAGTTAACTGTGTGTTTGATCATTGAATGTCAAGTATTTGATATTATGAGTAGTTGAGTATAGGCTGCAACGCGATCATTTATCGGGATATAGTAGGTGTAATTTTGCCAAACCTGATGTAAAAATGTACTGAATAATTTTTTTTCCACACGCACTGAGTATTCAAGTACATTTTTCAGGTTGGGCAAAATTCCACCGATACTTGGTTCTCCAGACGCAAATCCAGTTATATGTCTATTCCATCTCAATAATAACAATTACCACTCACATTGCAGTACCCGCTGCTTACTCAGGCGCAAGCTCGGTGGTCTAGAGGTATGGTGCCTGGCTAGTGGCCTGGAAATCACATTTTTTGAGTCCCACCCGAGAACAACTTGCGATTTGTATTCACACGTACTGAGTATTGAGTACATTTTCATGTCAAGTTGGGCAAAATTACACCTATATTTGTTCATGAAGTAAAGTATACATTCATGTTCAAACCTAGTAATGTATGATAACTTATGAACTGCATTATTTCTTTATTTGATAAAGAAAGATTAAATTAATTCTTACCTGTGCTGCAAACTTCTTAGCAGCAGCCGAAGAATTTACACTCCCCCTGTTCTTTTTCCAGGCTGGGACAGAGTCTGTGGAATCAGCAGTTTTCTGCTCAAATCTAGAGAATCTTGACTTGTCCAAGCGTCGTGAAGGTCCTCGTTTTGGTTTGTTGCCTTCCTCATTTTCTTTGGTCTCATTCTCTTTGTCCTCAAAGTGTGAAAACTTGGAGCCTTCAAGCTTATGCAATTCGCTTTTCTCTCCTGCTCCCTCAACAGTCTCACTATTTTCACTGCTACCTAAAAGGGGTTCAAATAACATCTTTTTTATTTCCTCAACTCGATTCATGTTCATAGATTCAATAAGTTAAAGGTCTACAAAGAAACAGTTTATATTTGGATATTCAGACCAGGCAGGAAACTCCAATCTTAAGCTTTACTGTGTGTCTGTGTGTGAACAATATAAAGTTAGATATTGTTGAGTCAATGGTAAAGATGATGCTAAATCCGAAGGTTGTCATGTGTGCATACAAGAGTGAGTGAGTGTGTGTGTGTGTGTGTGTGGGATGACGTAGGAGAATTATATGTCAAGCAAGGTTTGATAGTTTCCTGCTTTTTAAAACATCGCTATTTGGAAGTTAAACCGTGTATCGATGAAAATCTCAATTTTCTCATAGTCTATAAATGACCATTCCCAAAAAACATATCTTACCTTAGATAACAACTGTCAACATTTTTTATGTAAATTTTACGAACAATAAAATAAGAAAGACAACAATTTCCTGATAAAAAAAATATTTGTAGAAAGGATTGTAGTTTGCAAAAAAATCAAGAGAAGGATTGATATTTAAATTTGCAAAATTCCTCTTGGAATTTTTTACAATGATGTGAAGGACGATGTGAAATTATTAAAAAAGATGACCATATATGCAACCCAAGAGCTTCAATGATTATGATTCTAATTAGTAATGAAATTGATGGCTATTAATGATGTAATAATCTATGAGATCATGTATATATGTTTCAAAATGTTTTTATAAGGAAACCCAAAATGAAAAATGAAAAACTAAATCAATTCTTTCTATATGAAATGTGTAAAGTATACGTTCCACAAAAAAAAAAAAAACCATTCTGTTTAAACCATAAATCCAAAAAAATTTATTGTTAGTTGTACATCCGGGACTATTTTTTGGTGAGGGTATTTACAATTTGCTATTTACTAGTGGTAAATGGGTTTTTATAAAAGGAGTAAAACCAATCTTTGTAATGTATAATATTCTGTCATTTATGTTTCCACCTCGACAACAACCTTTCAGATCACCATTTCTTCTTTTATTTACTACTATGGAAAAATTCTTTTATTTAAATAGCATATGTGGCAAAGACAAGCCAAACCAGTCACTCGTCGCAAATCCTGTTATGGAGATAATGGCCAAAACATGCTGGAATGTCAAAATTTTAGAAATCTATTTTATTGCACTAAACTAACCTTTATATATCTATACATCATGCTATGCTGTTATTTTCCTCATTTTCAATGTTAAAACAACAATTTTTAACGATTTGGTGTTGGTTTCTGCCTAAGAAATGCCTTAAATCGTAAACTTTAAAGGCTGATTTCTCAAATATTGTTCTTTAAACAGCTGTATGTTTAAACCTGTGTAACTTCATAACGAAGTGTCGGATTTAAATGATTCTTTCACCATTTTATAGCTCTCATTGTACTCTTAAACACTGTATTAATAACTAAAAATTGATTTTTCCGACGAGTGACTGGTTTGGCTTGTCTTGCCACATATGGTAATTTTTTACATGAGGCTCCACAATTTGATGAGGGCAGGGAAGTGAAACTAGAAATTAATTTGTAGAAAATAGTTTTCATTAAAAACTTCTTTATTTCTTCAGCCATGTTTGGGCCTGTTGAAATTTAGTATTGTACTGGTCTACAGAAGGCAATACAATACCAGATGGTAGGTACGCCTACCTGAGGACTATAACACACCATTTATATGTTCAGACAGTTTGTCAATACAACTATTTAATTATTATTAATAATTATCTATTTGGCTTATTATTAATTTGTAAAATCTAAAAATATGGCCACAGTCAAATGAGTCACTGAAATGAATAAAGTTATAGTTTTTGTCGTTAAAAACAATTCATTATTGCATGTACTTCCTAATATATGACTCATCTTTTATCTTTTGTCATTTTTAATTGTTGTTGTTAAAAAAAATTGGATAAACATCCTTAGTAATTAAACAATGAACATTAGGCCTACAATTTGACTGCTCTAAACCATTATTAAATTCTAGCATAAACATCCTATTTTTTTGTGTTTGGATTTGAATATTAAATTTGAAAGCTATTTATTTTTTTATTTTATTCTTTCTTTTAAATACTGAATGACAATTTCAGTGCTAAACCATTGATTTCCAAAGTGGTTCAGTATTAAATAAGAAAAATTAATAGTACTTGGGAGGTTAAACTACTGTATACACTAACATCCGGAGCTAATTTAATTCTTAAAAAAAGATCATTATCATCAATGTCATCATCAGCAATACTACCATCATGGCAATTCAATAATACTAATTAATTCAACCAAGTATACCACTTGCCAATGTTCTCATTTCAATACCAAATTCTTGTAGAATAGGTGAGATTGTTTTTAATCTTTTTTTCGCGAACTTAATTTTTAAAGATCATCAGGGGAGGGTGGAAAAAAATTTAAATAAAATTTTGTTTTTTTTATTTAGTAAATATTTTTGCAAAAAAAATCCAGATGGAAGAGAAAATAAAAATAAAATTATATTGGTGAATGTAAACAGTGTAGTAATGGGATAGTTAAATGCTTTACATTTTATATATTAGGAAGAAATACACACACTTTTGGAGATCTCAATACAGCGGCATACATAATGATATTATAAGAAAAACTTTTTCTAATGAAATTTCCGTTTTTTCATGGCGTCGGGTGTGCTAATTAGCCAAAAATAAAATTATAATATTACTAAAATTTGGGTACATATTCCATTCATTGGTCGTCAAGGAGAAATACTCCTCCGTAGATGTATTGGCAAAGTCAAAAGAAATCTAACTAAAGATGTTAAATTCATTAATTTATGGAAAACTAAAAAAGTATTATATTTCACCTCAACCAAAGATGTAACGCCTAACGAATATCGTAGTTCTGTTGTGTATCATTTTAAATGCCCTGGCTGTGAATGCGACTATATTGGTAAGACAAACAGGTGCCTTATAACTAGAGTATCTGAACATTCTACTGTCTCTAACAGTGTCATACACAATCATATTGAGTCTTGCGATGCTTTTCAATATATTTTAAAACTTCATAATTTGCCTAACACAATTAAAGATAATTTCATTGTTAATTTCAAATCTCTAATATATTCTAACACTGCAATAATTGATAGTTCTCCTAACTGGACTCATTTACTATTTAAAGAAGCCCTTGCTATCCATCGCCTTAACCCTAAATTAAACTGTGGTCTCAAAGCATCAAGAGAGTTGAAATTGTTTATCTAATGTAATCTAACCCAACTTAATTGCCTCTCTCATAATCACCATTATGCTTAATCACCATTGTTATTGTACTAGCTTTTAATCCCCTCATTTAAATATTGTGGCATTTTTTGTAATCACTGTCTAAGTTTTCTCATTCCTGATGATGACCCAATAAAGGTCGAAACATTGAATCATGGCCTCCCTCTCTTTATTCGGAGTACCATTGATTTTATGTTATTTATATTTATTTCTTAAGTCGAAAATCCACCATACTTCCTCGGATACAAGCCCACCTCGGATAAAAACCCACCCCTAACTTATGCCCAACTTTACATACTAACCTTCACTCAGCCAAACAAATACAAATACTCAATAAAGAAAATTCTATAACAATTATTATATTATACTCTGACGTGTCTACTGAAAAAATTATCGTCTTGATGGTGGCTATAGTCCTAGACCTAGGTACAAGCTTTTAATGAATGAACCAACAGAGCTGCAGAAGAGTAGCTACCATGTTAGCCTAGGCCTAACTGAATATCAACCTAAGTATTATAAATGATAGCATTCTCCTGACTGTTATTAAAATATCTGAATGTTTTATGAATCTTTTTGCATTCTTTCTAAACCAAGTCTTCTGTCAGTAAGTTTTTGAGCTCAACACTTTTTCACAATTCGTCATATCCAAGCCACCACATAGGGTTACATCCGGTTTAATGTGCACTTATTTACTGTTTCGCACTGGCAGCACACACACTAACAACACAGCATGATTTCGGCAAATTGTCAGTGTTGGGGGTCAGAAAAAAAACCCATTTATTTTTACCATGATGACTTCATCAAAATGTTAAAAAAAGTCACGTTTATAAAAGAGAATTGTCTCAGCTTTGACATACTCAAAGTTAGGAGGCAATCGATAAAAAATAAGTGAGATAAGCTCAAATGAATATTTTAACAAATGACAAATTGTTTTTTAATTAGATTGAACTAATATAAAAATTATTATAGCAGAAATTGGAAAAATTATTGAAAGATTTAAATAAATATAAAATAAAACTTGATTGAACTCTTTGGAAAATGTACAAAAATCTGGCTTTAATGTCACTAAGAGCAAAGATCATACGTAAAATCAACTATTCGTAAAATACGTTTGTAAAACATATGTTTCACTATATGATGACATGAAACCTAACAGTATACAATAAGAATTCATGATGCATCATGTTTTCAAATACCATGAAAGATAGAACACTGAGTTAAAATGGAGTATTGCATGTAAAAAAATTCTACTAGAATATTAGGAAGCAAGAAAATGATATATGCAAGCAATTACTAAAATGAATGAAAATCGAGTTGGATATGATTCAGTAACTCAAAAATACATAGCAAAATTTTAAATAAAATCTCATCTCAAGACTGATTCATTGAACATCATTTACTACACTGTTAACATTATTTCAAAAATTGTAATTATTATTACTTATAGAATTTTAAAATTCATATGTCATTATTATAAAATTATATTGTGTAAATATTAATCAAATATGCAAATTAGAGTTTAATGATACAGTCTGAGATGGTTACTTGTAAGAATTAGTGTACAGGGCATACTACCTTTACAAGCCTGCTCAAATAAGGCAAGACGTGAGGCGATGGAAAGCTTTTCTGGTTAAACAGAACATAAAAAAAGGCATCAACACTTGTTAATACAAAAATATAATTATACAGTATACAAACAAAAACAATTATAAAAAATATACAATTTAATAAACATGCCAAAAGCTTATGGAACAATTAATGCACTTAAAACATAAAAATTAAACTGATGACTATTACTTATGCCAGCTGTATAATCCCAAGCGTATGATGTAGCATGCTCTGTAAGTTTGGCATAGCAGGGGCAGTTTGTTTTACCAATTTCAATGTTGGGGTTTCAATGTCAGTGTGCATTCCGTTTTTGTCTGTATTGCTTCTCCGGACTCTGGATTATAAATGGGTACCTATGGGGTTTCCTGCTACTTCACAGACTCAGCAGCCACATTTATGCGTGTGGACCCAATGACCAGGGATAACCAAAAGCAACCACAAAGGAAAATACTACACAAGCAAAAAGCAACAATGAACTAGCAAATAGATGTAGATGGGACATGCCAAGAACAATGTAATGAAAGATAAATTTTCCATCTCTGCACTACAACTTGGTCTTTCATACAACTTGGTCTTTCAAATGTATAGTATTAAATATTACTACTGATAGGAAACTGTATAAAAAGTCGGATGGGTCAAATAACAGTGCTGCCAGTAGTACCGAAAATGAATAAGAACCTGTTGAAATGTTTTATAGTGACACACTAATGTATCTTCCACTTATTTGAAATAAATTTGTAAAGATAAAGAAAATTAAAATTGAGAATACTTATACAGTATAACCCCTTTAAAGGGTTTATTTCAACACACACATAAAAGAATTTCCATGGTTAAGTGTAAAAGATTGGTTACGAAGTAACATATGTAGTGTGTCCTATACCGATTTGTCCATTCTAAGGATTTAGGGGAAAAAATTCTTGATGATGTTAAGTTTATTACTCAATAGGTTCCCATTGATGAAACTAAATGAAAACACTCCCATTGATATTATGAATAACTTTTTTTGTGTCTATACGGTAAAACGTTCCAAAGTAATGATGAAGGAATTGTTTGGCGATAATGGGCACACAAGAGTGGCCAGTGCTACTAAAAGATTAACATCACTCATAATAACCCCAACATTGGAACAGGGGTGTTATACAGTAAAGCAAAGGTTGAGGACCAAAAAACCGCCTACCTGACACATAATTAACTATGGAAAGGGTGGGTGAGCTTTTTTTAAAAAAAGAAGCTTACCACCTGAAACAACGATTGAGGAAGAATGCGAAGCATTTTACCAAGATGAAACGCCGCTAATTACCAATTTGAATGAATGAATACTTATAAAGTATAACCCCTATTAATGTTTTTTTTTAAACACATCCAAAAAAGAATTCCCATGGTTTAGGGTAAAATTTTACAAGATGGGTTTATACAAAGTAACATTATGTAGTGCGCCCTATACCGATTTGTCCATTCTAAAGAATTTAGGAAAAAAATTCTAGATGACATTAAGTTTATAACTCAATAGGTTCCCAATGATGAAACAAAGCATGAATGAAAACACTCACATTGATACCATTGATTGTAAATATCTTTTTCTAAACCATTTTGCTGCCTTTCAGGATTTTTTATATTTAATCTTACATTTAATAAGCACGAAAAATTTACTCATTTTTTATTTTGAAGTGTTTGATACTAGGCCTAGGCATCTAAGCCTGCTAACTACAATTGCCTTAGAAAATAATTACCCAAAGAATTCTTTGCATGGCCGTGATTTGACATCGGTCAAAGGTTATTTATTTTCGCTTATTTTAGATAATTTTATCGAATAGTAAGTACAATACCGAAACACGTCCTAAATAATAAAAAACATACATTTATTATTTCAGTAAATATTTTTTACAAAGCATTCCATGAAATTGACTACACTACTAATATATTGGACGTGCATGTGGTATAAACACAAGACATGCATGATCAATACAAAAGATAGCAAATATTGTGAACACATGCGTTATAAATAATTTATATTGGTCAATAGTATTTCTTTTCAGTCTACCGTACAAACCACCTTAGTAAAAACAATTTGTCAACAACAGACTTGTATAAATATGTATAAGTATAAATCTAACACATTTTACAATGTTAAGACTACTGAAGGTTCAGACCAGTAATCAAGCCAGATGCCTCTCAATCCTGGTGAGTGTCCCTCCCACAAATAAACTTGCATGCCCATTTTTTATATTCTTTCTAATATTATATGCTTACTTTGGATAGTCTAGCACACCAAACTGGAATTTCAGGATACTTTAACATAAGAAGTGAATAGCATATATATATAGTATTTTAAAAATCAGGTAACTTGAAACTTGAGTATGAAGTGTTTCTAGCTAGCATCTATAAATATACAATATGAGCATCCATCACTTTTACATGTTTATACAAATAGTTTTTTTAAGTGGAATTTATGAGAATGAATGAATAATGCTTAGAATTTAGCTTCATTGATAAATCCAAAACGGACAGGTGGATTAAATGTAAATATTTAAAGATGGAATGATGAATTGATTTGTAAAATAAAGCAGAAATCTTAATGATCATATGATTAAAGACAAACTGAGAAGATCACAATTCAAAATATTTTAACATGAATGATGCCTATATCACCAACACATTCAAATGTAAGATGACATCATAAATTAAATGTGATACATTATCTTCTGCGCAGATGGTAAAGAGACAATTAGAAAGTAAACCAATTTTGTTATGTCAGATTTTTAAAATATAATAATTACAAAACCCCAAAGTTTCCATTGGGGGGGGGGGGAGAAGAGGCGTCACCATGAACAGATTCAAAGTAAAACAATAAAAATAATAGTAATAACAATAATAATAATTTGTACAGTTATAAAAGTAACAGTTGTTCATTATTTATAGTAATGGCTAAGACAACTTTAATAGTAAGTCTATGAATGGATTGCTGGACACCGAACAGCACCCCAACGTTACACAAGCCTGGAACAGCAGAGCTACCATATTTATTCGAATAATCGCCCTAGGGCATTTATTGAGAATGGTTTTTTGAGCAGGCAATATTTGAGGGAGTCGTTTATCTTTATTTTTATGGTGTTTGGTTTTCATTTTAATGAATTCCGCCCACCGCAATGAGGTGATTTTTAACAAAAATGAAAAAAAAAACACCTATGCATTTTAGTTCTACCCATTTCCCTTAGTTTCAATTTCAATATCTGTTGGTATTAGAGCCTCTATGGGCTTTCCAGAAATTAGAGAAAAAGCAGAGAAATAAAAAAAGCAATTCACAGTCAAACACAAAAAGAAGGAAAAAGAAGAAAACAAATAAGAATATTGATGAAAGAGACAGGACTTTAAGGATCTGACAGAAGGATCAGTTCGAACATCCAGGGGAAGTTGGGGGGGGGGTGTCAGCAATGTTAAATAATAAATATATAAAAAGACGCCTGAAATGAGTGTGAATAGTGTGTATGAAAAGACAAGTCATGTGAATTGACAATCTGCTTGTATAAATATGCAAACTAAATATATCAAAATCAAAAACATTCATTACTTTGAAATCGTCATGGCAGTTTAATTTAATTTGAACTTGAGAACTATCAACCAACATCAAACACAAATATAATATTCAGAAAATACAGTAGAATGATTTTTAAAGCAATAATTTTGCAAATGGTTTCATTAAAGAAAAAGTAGATATTGATTTAAGGAGAATGGAAGAGTAGGATGCATGATTAGCAACAGGAAACATCCAAAATTTACCTGTTCTGGGATTGGATGGTATCCGTGGTTTGACAACAATCGATTTGTCAAACTTTCTCCTAAGTTCTGGTAAACCAGCAAATAAAAACCAACAGGAAGTTAAATCATCTTACAAAAAAATATACTAAGAAGAAAATTGAAAAAATCAAAAGCAAAAATCTGACAATAGGGCACAATGATAAGCAGCAATCAAACAGCATCATCTATACATATAATTTGAATTTATATAGTACTGTATATTAAATTGTTACTTCAATTTATATGGAAGTTTAAATTGTTACAAACATTTTCTCAAAAATAAGACACTATATACCACTCTTCTTCAGCACTTCAAAGTGCAGTTTGAATTATGGATGAAGTTTTAATAGATCAATTTATTGAATGATATTAATTTAAAGTTGTAATATATATTTAAAACCAGACATTACATGTATTGTATCAAAAATTTGAATCAAAATAGATTAAGGCAATCTATTTAGTAAAACTTTTTTTTTTCTGTAATACTGTTAAATCATGATGAGATATAGCCAACTCAACTATACACAAGGACAATAGCAGACTATATCTGCCGTGGTTCCAAATAATGTGCTGTATTGCTTGTTTTTCTTGCAAAATGGTGGCAATGAAAAAAAATTCAAAATGTCACACTTAAAAAGAGAGATTAAAGCACAGTTACCAGAATATCTAATTTTAATAAGATCTTAAATAAAGCTTATCTTATCAAAGTACTGTAATTCCATTCAGACTAGAAATTTATTGCAACTGTGGTTGCGATGCAATTTTTTGTAATCCAAAATTGAATACTCCTATTGGATATCAATCACAATATTAGGAACATTCTTAAAAATGACCACCATTGTAAGTAACTCTACTGACATTTTCTAATGTTGACTGAACGCAGCCAATTACTATCTGTGGAATTTGTTGTAATTCAGCGCGATTGGGAAAAAATAGGCGTATCACAACATTGATTACTATTGGTGTACTTACACACATGACAGTAGATTATGACGGAATGTGATTTGGTGCAATTAGTTGTAGCGACTGATCAGCTAATCAAATATTTATCAGTCAGCCAAAAAAAAAAATTGATTTAATAAGCCTATATATCAAAAGCTTATGGCCTTGCAGGATAAAATAGTAGTGGCAGCGAAAATGTACTATAGAATACTTACTCTTCCATCATGCGCTAAAAAAAATTGAAAAATGCAATGCAATATTTGTATTGCTTAATTTGTATGGTTAAGTTAACTTCCAATTAAAAAATTGAAGGAGAAAATATTTGCCCTGTCAATTAACAGACAGCATAAATAACTTTCCTGTACTTTTTGTGTAGGCCCTTAAACTGGCTGGATGGTAATAACTTATTAAGGATCAGTGAGAACTTTTATTTTCTATCCATTTCTAGTTTATAAATAGCTATAGTTTATCATGTTCATGGTTAGCAATTGCTGACTGCCGACGTGAAAATCTGTGGACTGTTGTTCACAACCTTTCCAATAGTGTATCACAAACAACAGTAGCTGCAAAAAAAAACACCCCCTTTGCATGGTCCTCAATTTAAAAGCGCCAAATATTCCAGTGAAATATGTTCGATGGAATATTTTCATCAGTAAGAAGTGCTGCATGTATTGAATCTACCATCTGTTTGATGAAAACTAATGTTCGTACTACATTATGAATTATTTATTTTCTATTGATTTACTGCTGTGACATGTTATGAGAAATTAAGGGCAAACTAAATATAACCACTTTAGCTCATCATTATACAACTCCAAAACCAAAACCCAAAGCATGGCCAGGCCGGGAAGAAATATTTTTTGTGCCTCCAACCACGAAAATTATCATGATCAAAATGCCCCTAGGATCAAATGTTATCTTTACATTACAGAATATAGTCCAGTGGCGGATCCAGGAATTTTAAATAGAGGGGGGTCAGGGAGGAACTTACAGACATATACCCCTTTTACACTGCAAGCAAAACTCTGGACACAACCCAGGATTTTGCAATACCCGGGATAGAAACTCCCGAGTTGTGGTTGGTGTAAACATCAAAAAATACAACTCGGGTTGGACAACCCCGGTGCATTCTAGTATCGCCAGTGTAAACAGCACCGAATTCGATTCCGGAGGTAGGCCTTACCTGGCACCTACCACCTACCGCAGCTGTGGTCAAGTAGGTCTAAACTTTGCTAGCAACAGGCTAGGCCTAGACACTTTTCAAATTAAACCCCCTACGCTCCAGAGTACACACTTGATATCAAAACTGCTGATTTAATTTGCATAATTTAAAAACAATCTGTATATAAATCCCTTCAATATTGACAATAATTGTGGCTTCGTCACGAAGAGAAACTCGAACGAATTGATGATCACCATTGCAGCAAAAATTGTGGGCAGTATTTGAACCCGAGTTCCTCTGGTGGAATGCTTACTGCACCCAGAACACCAGCCCTCAAAATTAGGGAAAGAGTACATCCGGAAAAAACAGGCGATGTAACATCAATGCTGGTTATAACTTTAGCTTTTCATAATAATCAGCAAGAGCCCTCAGGAATAAACCCAATGCAGCTGTTGAAAGTCTCAATAAGTCTCTCACCCAATCAAGGCCAGCTAGCCTACAGTAATAACTTTGAAGATCACAAATATTATATAAAATTAGTAACTGAACAACAGATTTTTTAAAATATTGATGATGATATTGCTGTTCTGCTGAGAAGTCAATTCAACATCTCCCGCATCAGCTGCTCTGCTTACGTTTCTGATAATTCTTTACTGCAGTGTGTTTTTTGCTGTTCTTTAATGCGTTTAATTCCCTTGTGTTCTTGAGTGGTGTGTGATATAGTAAAATATTATAATGAGGAAAAATATAGTTTAAGGTACTGTATAGAACTGTTAATAATAGATTGAATAGCAAAAATGGTCGACTCCAGCGACTAGTCCGCTCGATTTTTGTTGACAGGTAAGCTTGTGTGGTGTGAAGATTTGGGGATCTTCTTAATAATTAAACAATGTACAGCAGTAACTGCTGCATGTTGAACCTAGGGATTGTCTCAGACATTCAGTACAGTAATACTGTAATTAATTCATGTTAAATTTAATCATGCATTAAACATTTTTTTTCCCCTAAAAATGCCTTCGGGTAATGCTCAATGCCTCTGACCGCTGTCGCACACTTTTTCCAGTCCTGAGCATTGCTAAGAATGTTTTGAATAAAAACAAAAATATTATACAAGTGTAAAAGCTTTTGCAATAATAAACTTATTAGATAATGACAACTTCATTAAACCTACCTCTTTACTTTGATAATATTTTAAATCCCATGAGATATGTTCGAACATTAATTAATTACACAAGTATTTCATGTTATTTGTTACCTCATGAAAAATATAAATTAAGGGATTAATGTATAATATATTGAATGATCAAATAAATGTCTGGCCTACTGTACATATAAAATAAAATCAGGCAGTCAGCCCTACTTTTTTTTATGCTCACGCACAGCTGGCTACTCACAATTATGACTGATCGAACTGCGGTGTTTTACAACAAAAGCTGCAGCGATCTTGGTGTTGGGTTTGCAGAGATAAGGAAATCTTGAGCGCTCCTTGAAGAGCAATGAACCACATGTGTACCATAACAAGTACTGAGGGGTTTAGAAATGGGGTATAACTTTTTTTTACCTTACGAGTAATATCGCGAGTTGTCAATATAATTTCACTGGGTGGGCAATGGTTTAGTCTTACATGATTTGATGGAATTTCCAAGTCGAAATTTGGCATAAAAAAATGTGTTTCGCATAAAATTCACATAAATTCTATTAATAAGCATTGTTTTATCAAATGTAAATATTATTTAGCTTTTTAACACAAAATTTGATCTACTTTGATCACGGAGGCATGGGTCTGAACATGTGATCCCTTTTAACGATAAAAATGATTGCTATCCTGCAAGTTAGCCAAGAAGGGCAATGTTGCTCATTGAAAGTGATGGACTACGGCTACATCAAAATTTACTACAAAATCAGATTTTTAAGGTTATATTTGTTCATCGATTTGTAAAATCACTGAATACATTACGATTGTCTCACCAATACAGCACTGAACGACATCCCACCCAGCCGACTATTTTTAGCATAGACCAGGGACCTCCCTGGCAGCATACAAAGAGACTTGTTTCCTGCAGTTTGGTTAAGTGCCTTACAGTATGCAATTGAAGTACAGTATGCAATTGAAGTTGTGGAACTGCCTGCAGTGCCACACTTTGGTAGTTATCTTGCTAACGTTTTTGGATATTACCTACTGTACATTTTGTTTTTTAGTGTGGCGCTTATATTTTAAGCGTAGTGCTGTCTTCGTTATTTTTGCCTAAGCTAGTGGTCCTGCCACACTTAAGTATAGCTGGCAAGATCACTGTGAAACAAAAGTACAAAACAATCAAATCAAAACAAGTAACATTAAGAAAATTCCATTATAAAAATAAATTTTAAATGGTAAATTTTTAAAGACAATTAGATAACAATAAAACATACCTGTTTCTTTTTCATCTTGTCTTTCTGGTTCTTGTACTGGAGGTTTTGTTACTTCAATTTCAACTTGAGGAATATCTTCTACTGATTCTTCCGTCTTTCCTCCCTCATCCTCTTTCTCCTCATCCTCCTCTGATGCTGTTACCTCAGGCATTTCATTTACAACCTGCTCTACAACCTCCTCTGATTCATTCCCAATCTTTTTTAGCTCAGGTTCCAGGATCTCCTGTACTTCTCTGACTTCTGCTTCATCATTTAGTTGGTCATCTTCAGGCTCATCCACAGGTTCTTCCTCATCCACAGGTCCATGCTGACCAATGCCATTTTGCTTAGTGAGATCACTTTCACCATTATAAACATCACCATCTTCATGAAGTATATCAACATCTCCATTCTCTTTCATGACTTCTTCCTCTTCTACAACAGATTTATCTGGAACAACATCTCGTTCATCACCAATGATCTCAAATGTCTCACTGTCATGGGACTCACGTGCAACCTCTGAGTCTGACATTATGTGTTTTTTGATGAACTAGAAAAAAGAAATGGAAAATTAGACTTAAAGACATTACTGACGAATTAGGTGATCCGCAGCATCGGATAGTGATCTTATTATGATCATTATCTTGGTTAATTGAAAATTAATGATAATGAAGGAGGTTGTTGGTAACAGAATCAAACTGGTTATTTAAAAAGAAATAAAAATTTGTCGACATAAACGCGCGTATGGAATTGTTATTGGCCTTAAAAAACTGAAAAAAGTAAAGGTAAAAGTAAGAAGGTAGGGGAATAACCCAGAAACCCAGCATCATTGTGCTGAAATGCGTGGTCTGTGACTACCTAGCAGGCACTTCATGGTAGCTACATGTTCACATCATTCTACAACAGGGGCTGAAATGAACCATAACATCGGGCTACCCCCTGCTCTTTCGAAAGATGCAATGGGTTCTTAAAGTGCACACAAGCCAGATGTATACACTGGACCTCCATTTTAAGCCCTTATCCGAGAAGACTTGGTTCTACCAACTGAACCATTGGCGAGGAGCACCTGGAACCAGCGCCGATATTAAGGCTGAAGCCAGCGGCGCCTCCCGTCTTACTGCTCAGCCATTCGACTTTGTGAATCAGTGTCTGGAACCAAAAATATGTGAAAAAACATAAATTTTTCTAGCTTCCGTATGTGCTAAGTGCGTAAAAATGCGCACACGGTGCAAAAATTCTCAAAATGGCCAGAAACGTGCTCTGAATTAGTCAAAAAATGATTTTGAGCATATGCATACGTGCACGTCATGGCACGCACAGACGGCAATGGCACACGAATTTGACCCTTGATATGAAGTATACTTACTGTAGCGTCAAATTTCATTGAAATATGTCTGTTGATGAGGAATTTATGATCAATCATAGAATTTCACAAAATAATGTGTAAATAAATGATGTCACACTTGACCATGATGAAAATGAATATTTTTAAAAAAAGAATTGTCTCAGCTATAACATACTGAAATCTGGGGGACAATCAAGCCAGGATAAGCGAGATATGCTCAAATCAGTATAAAAATTATGAGGTCATTCATAGATATAAAAATATATAGATAAAAATTTAGATGGCAATATGGTGATGTCACAACATTATTTTGCCTTAAGTTTTTTTTAGTTTAAGATTGCTTTTCATTTTATATGGCTGAACAGTTTCTTTTTTACTTTTCTTTAATGTCCCTTTGAAAATTTGAATTGTCTTTTTCTTAGCGTAAGTCTTTTTTGTGAACTTTACTGTACATATTGTTTTGGACGCACCTGCGATTGAGAAGTGTGCCACTGATTGAAAAGTGTAGTTCCTAATAAATTATTAATGTCTGATCAGCCATAATGATTCATAAAACCACCTACAACTCTCAGAATATGAATTAAGATGTGGAGGTCACCGTTCATACTAAAGAGCTATAACTGATTAAAGACAGGCATATATTCACTGTATTTTGACACAAACAAGCGTACAGATTCATATGTTTGATGCACGCGTACAGGATTGTTATTGGCGCTAAAATGACTGAAAAAGAATGGAAATTTGTGAATACAATGTCAGGAACCCAAAATACTCTATGTAGAAAAAAAATAATTTTTAGCTTCCGTATGTGCTGTGAGCGTGAAAATACGTATTGCATCATAAATATGTATTTTATCATGAATGTATTTTTATCTAAAAGCAGATTATCTTAATACGAACATCTGTATACTAATAGCTGGAATATAAATCTATCTAAATTTGAGGTGACAATATAAATACAGTGGAAATCTGAGCATTGTAAATGTACCTAAACAAATTTTTAATTTACTGTGAGATATGGTTTTTCAATTTCAGCTATAATTGAAAAACCATCTCACAGTAAATTAAAAATTTGTTTAGGTACCTTAAGTCTACAAAATCTCTCAAAAGGGATTTAAGCAAATAAAAACCAATAGAGGGCAGCAAACATGATATGTACAGTTAAATTACTACACACATCCTCCATTGCAGTAAATACAGATCTCACTCCAGTTAAATTATAAGAATGAAAAACATTGGAGTTTGATTTTGAAACCAAGTTTTCCTGGTCATAGCAGCTTTGGTCCTTAAAATGGACATGAAATGGATTTCTTCATAGATACTTACCAAGTTTGTTTGAAGGTATAAATCCAATACATGTTAATACTGTTACAATATTTTATCAAACAACGACTTCATAAAATATATCGACAATCCGAAAGAAAACAACTATCATCATTACAATTCTCTACATACGTGGTCATCGGCTAGGGCTGGTAGTACTGTAGTATAGTAGTAAGCACTGGATTCTAGACTAGAGCCTAGGTTAGGTAGAACTAGCCTAGAGGCTAGGCATACAGGCCTGCTTCTCAACCTTTTTTAGGTGGCAACTTACTTGCAGAATGCAAATTCTGTGGCGACCCAAGGCATATACAATATTGTCATTGTCATACAAAAATGATATTGGCATGTTATGCGTTGATTACTTAGGCCCACAAGCCATATCAACCTCGGCTAAGTCGAACACAAAGTAGCGGTGAAAGATTGTTTTGATTTTTAATTATTGGATTGAATTGGATTGGATTTATTCGGTGTAAACACTAAGGATAGCCCACAGAAGTCTAGAAGACTTATTTCCAGTGGGGTCCTTCTGGTGGTGATTGGGCAGTACACTGGGAGACAATACCCTACTCTTTTCCAAAGAGTGTACTACATTCTTTAACATGCACATGGGCCATAAATGCACACGGGACCAACAGCTTAAATGTTTCATCCGAAAGATGGTGCACTATTGTAACTTCTATTTCAGCCCTCCAGCTGAAACACAAGGAGAGGCAGTGATGGGAATTGAACTGGGGACCTAGAGATCGCCACGGTTCAGCGCACACACAGTGGCTACCACCAGATTAGCCAACTGAGCTAAGCTGCTCTCATGGCTGCTCTACTTATGCACTTGTCAATTGTAGTCCCGGCTCCCCAGACCCGGGCCATAGCGGGGCACTGGCCGGGACTGAGCTGGGGACATACACTGCATGGTCGAAAGCTTGTGATTAAATGAATTTGTTAGTTTAAAAAGTGCTGTTTGTCCTTCATTTACTGTTAATCTCCACTCATGAATAAATGCCATAAATAATAATCCGAATTTGATGGGATTTTCTTTTCCGCAGCGAAATATTCAGCAGATCTTATTTTGTTAAGTGTTCTACATGTTAACATAAAATTTATGATATCCTCTTCATTTTCAGGGCAAAGAGGGCAGTATTTATCAACAGTAGAATCATATTTACATATATGGCATTAAGTTGGAAGGTACTGGATCTTGCTTTAAACTTTAAACTGCTTCTGTAGAAATCAGTTTAATTTTTTAAATAATCCTCCATTTTGGGGTATTCCTTAATTCTAAGATAATAAATAAGGGATGCTTTGTTGACTGCATTACTAAACCAGTTGAAATTACTCAACTCGATGTTACGTAGGGTTACCAGTGGTGTGGGTAAAGAATTCATCTCACAATTATTCAATGACTTTCTCACCGTATCTAAAAATTTATATCTCATGCTTTCTTCAGTACATTTTAAATACATAAAAGCATTGAATAAAAGTTTTGGCCACCTGTGGATTTCCATATTTTGTAGCCTTGAAAAATAATTTACTGTATATAGTGGAATGGTATGGATAGGTTGCCACCCTAAATCTCTAAGTAGTGCTTCAATTGGGGTATATGTCTGGTTGGACCTAGCGATTGGCGAGCCATGAGTAATTAGCACTGTACGTAGCGTAGCAGAGTCTAGGCCTGGCTACAGGTACATATTTACTTCGAAAATGTTGACATAGGAGACCTTTCAAATGAACCAGAAAACAGACTGACATAATAATAATAATAACAACTTTATTTTATAACGGTCAAAAAACTCGTTCACCCAAGTGGGTGTTCTTCCACGAGGCCGTATGGACATTAAACAAAATAATTGTGTTAGATTAAAATAATTAAGTGTTAGTACAAAGAAAAAACAAATATATATAATACATAATAATGGTTATTACATTACTATGTTTCTTTTTAAAAGTTCTAGTGTGCTTGAATTTTTTATATTGCTGTCTAAATTATTCCACAAAAGAGCCCCCCGGTAACATAGACTTCTTTTTTTATATTCCGTTCTTGGCTTGGGTACGTTAAGGTTGTCATTTGACCTAGTGTTGTATTTACTTTCTCTTTGAATAAATCTATTTTTTAAATAATTAGGAGCTAAGTCATTCATTATTTTGTACATTGTGATATTTTCATTAATGTTGAGCATTTGATCAAGATTAGGCCATAGTTGCCAACTTTCCACATGATTCTTTTGGCATAAGATACTATCACTCACAAAATCAAGTTAATACCCCGGCTACAAATTAAAATATAGGCCTAACTTTGAATTGCTCATTTAACAAAACCATGTAAGTTATCAAATTTGTATTTATACATTAAAGGTTTTCAACAATTAATGATTTACAAACACTTTCATTATACATAAAATCATTTGCAACCAGATACACTGTATATGCGAAGACAAAGACACATTAAATTGAAACATTTTCAGTTGAAAGCCAAGCACATCGAAATGAACAAAACTAACACTTTCAGGTTATCATAGCTGAAGTACAAAATTTAATATAATATATTTTTTAATATGAAACTTTGATAACGCACACATTACAAAGGTAAAGTGACCCACATGCCACACTTTAATTGCACTTTTATTTACTTTTATTAAAGTAAAGTTTTCACGATCTGAAGATGTTATGCGACCCATTAAAATTTTTCCGCGAACCAGACAATGGGTCGCAACCCATAGGTTGCAGAACGGTGCTCTAACCCGATTTACTTTTACAATACATAGGAAAGTGTCTACTTTACCTGTAAGCGGGCAGTAGACACAAAAATAATAAAAGTAATCTTATTCTTTCTACTGCGATGAGTTGATTATTAATCTGATGGACTATAGACGATACAATATTTTTTA